GTCCTTCAAAGTATTACAACTTGAAGTCTTCTCTGAGGCCTGAAACCTTCCTCCCTGCCGCAGGCAGATGTGGGAACTCTGCATAAGTCCCCAGGACAGCCCTATCCCCCACACTGCACTATCAGTTGCTGTCTTCCCACTAGACTGTGCTTTACTTCGTTCCTTGCCTTATTCATACTTACATTCCTATACTCTACAGTTCCTGGCACTTAATATCCCATGCATGAATGAATGAATATTGAAGGAAGAAACTGTTCTGGAAACATGTGTCAAAGCCAGATTCCCAATACCTGTTTTTCCTTCTACAGTAAAAGGACCCCTAATTTTAGCTGCGCATACGTTCCTGCTTCTCCTACAGCTAGGCGTGGTCATGTGACTATGCTGTGGCCAGTGAAATGTGACCAGAAGTGCTATTTCTAGAAGTGTGACTTTTAGGAGGTTTCCCTTAAAAGAAGGGTATGTCTTTCAACTTCTCTTACTCCATCCATCCCACTGCATAGTATGCGGATGAAGATGGCACAGAAGACAGAATGAGCCTGGGTTTCTAATGACCATGCAGTGCCCATACTGGCTTGGAGGCAGCACAGTATGTGGTAAAGAGCACAGGTGTGCAGCCAGACTACTGCGCCTGGGACCTGACTCCAGTTGACTATTAGACAAGTCACTTCACCTCCCTGTGCCTCAGTTTATCCATCTGTACAATGGAACAATAATAGTGCCTACTTTATAAGGATTGTTGTGAGACTAAAATGATTAATATATAAAACATCTGGAATGGTGTCTGGTACATACCAGGGCTACACACCTATTAGCTATTATTATTACCATCTCTGGCTTTCTTTTACATAAGAAAGAAAAAACCCTGTCTGCACCTTCAAGACGAGGGCTGTACCTCACTGCTTTGGCAAATGACACAGGTAGCACACTGAGTCATTTGTTCCCCTCGCTAGGCTGCGTAGTCCTCCAAAGCAGAACCAACGCAACTTTCATTCCTCTACAGGGCCAACAAAAGTCCCTGCACAGAGCAGGTGCGTAATCATTACTGGTAAAAAGAGAAGCTAATCTCGTTCTTGTCCTAGAAAATATATAAATGAAAGGCCCCGAAAGCTTTGTTTAAAGTGCACCTGTCATATTTTAAATGCAACAAAACTGGAATTTTCAGTTATAGGTTGAAAGTATATAAAGGCAGTATTTTCTTTAAAGGTCTTCATCCTATCACACTTT